CTGGGAACGTGTTACGGTCTTCACGTCTGATGAATTCAACGAGGGCCAGCTCTGTTATGCAAAGTAATTCGTGTGAGGCAAATAACCAATCCATCATTAAAAGATGCAAGACTTAACAATCGCCGTTCAAATTCTGTATTGGAGACGAGCTGTTCTTAACTTGTCTATTAACTGTACCCATATTTCCTACAAGAGCTATTAAAAAGCGGGGGAGGAATGGCTCGTGATTAGTTTCGTAGCATTGGCTTACCTCGAGTGATTCTTTTCCAAGGTTACAGTGGACTTGAAAGGTAATATTATTTTGAAAGAGAAAATGTGCTGTGCATAGCTCTGTCCTCGTGCTGCTATTTATTTTTATTTTATTTTACTTCTGTTTAGAATAAATAGCAAGCACCAGCCAGAGATTCTGAACAGCCTGCTAATGACTGAAAATGAAAATACAGTAGGGCATGCTCCCTCCTTCCACCGAGAAGCAGCAAGGTAGCGAGCCTTAATATCCCTGTGTTTTGGCCTGTACCAAATCCATTTCCCCCTCTTCAAAGCAAGGTGGAAGAAGTGCACTTAGTCTCTGGCAGTTTTAGTGTTCACCTGCATTTCACTTTCTGAGGAGGTGATAATGACTTCCCATATAGAAAATCTCCTGTACCGGGCCTCCTGAGACTTAATATAGGCTGCACAATAAAAAGTAGCCACCTTAACAATGGTCAGAAGAAACATTGCTCCCTCAGATTATTTAAAATAGTTATTGTAATATATTTTTTCAGGTAAGGGATACCTCTTTAAAAAAAAAATAAAAACCCACAAAAAAACAACAGGTACAACAAAACTGAATAGATGGCTAGTGACTGTCCTCAAAGCAATTCCACGTGTGATTGTGTGTGTGTTAGTGGAAGTATCTCAACCCACTGCACTGGGGGAGAACAGTAACCTGTGTGTAGAATTGGGCCCACAGACGTGCCTGGTACCAGATGTTGCTCTTCCCGATCACTGTACATCCTGTATTTTCAGGATTAGCAAAATACCAAATGGAAAAACATTATTTTATTATTTTTTTTTTCTCCTACAAGTGTACAGTTGAGAAAATCATGGACTGCATCTATTCCTGCGCAGGATGAGAAAATAGTAATTATGAGAATAGTAGGACATATTTCAGCCTGTGTGCAGCTGAATGTGACTCAGGGAGTTTTGAAGGGAAAGAAACAGCTGTACTAGACAGTTATGGTTCGCTGTATTTAGAAGAAATTACTGCACAGAAGTGCTTATTTTGATGATCAAGTTCTGATATTTTAAAGCTTTCAGGAAGCCTTATAGTAAATATTTTAATCAGACACGTTAAATATATTTCAGCTGGTCTTTTATATAAGAAAAATGAATCTAAATCAATTTCAGAAACAGTTTTTTTTATTGTGCTAGGGCATGAGTTTTCTCTATTATTTTTTTTTTCCCAATAAAATGTGTGCTTTCTAGGTAGTGAAGGGGAGATCCCTTTGCTACTTTATGTTTTCAATAATGAATTGTAGGCTTCTCAAGGCTGGGGTGCTGGCAAAAAAAAAATGTACATGCGTAATTCTAAGCAGGGGAGCAGCTCAACTGGTGTTCTACTTTCCTGTGTAAAATTACTCACAGCCAGTTTGTGTGGGATCAAGGTCTTTGTTAATCTATTTTTGGCTGTACCCAAGGCTCTTCTCATTTAGATATTAGTAAAAATGTTACTGTTTTAAGTAGACTTTCATTCTGCAATGCTCTCTCTTCTGCATATTCTTTCTATTATTACATTTGGCTTTGCAGTATTCACTTTGAGTTAGGGCTTCGTCCTGCAGCCTCCCCGAAATGACCTCTGTGCCCTGAAGGAGGAGGCCACTAAATCGAATAAGTGTTGTGGGATCAGGAGAGTTACAAAGTCCAACCCAACAGCAGGGATAATGGCAAAGCCTCTGGTCTTTTTGTCTGGTCCCTTGGTACCAAGTAAATAGATAGGACCTGATCCAGAGCAATGGGGAGGGGCTTTCTGTTGAAGTCAACTGAAAAGGTTATGGCAGTGGCTCAGGTCATGATCTTTTTAGAATTATTACCAGTTGCCTTTCCAAAGTCTTGCTGGAAACAGATAATTTAAAAAGCATTTTTGTATTTGAGGACTTAAAAGCATATTACAAAGGCGTTTATCCATCTCACTGATAGGTAAACTGAGGCACTCAGGGAGTAAACCCAATGTTTTCAGGAATATCTCGTTAAATCTGAGCAGGGAGAATAGTTCTGCACAGACCGTTCCCTGGGAGGGATGCCAGTTGAGCTGAGGGGATGGTGTCACAGCTGCTTGGAGACCTTCCCTCCACTCATGGGACAGCAGGACCACTGCTGCTCGTGAAGTGGATTTTTGTTTGTGGTTTGGTTTTCTATTTTAATCATCTCCTTGGGGGGAAAATATGAGTGTAGTGAAGTGTCTTGCTTTGGTAGGATGGGATTTTTTCTTTGTTTGCTCCACACGCACACTTACAGTGTTGATGGTACTTTGTGTTTATCTTAAGGACAGCATGATGGAAGGAATGTGTGTTGCCTACATCAATTCGCTCACCCATATAAACATTTTCAGGAGGAAAGTCTGTATTTGTGTTTCTGTGTTTTGAGATACTCAACTTTTCGACTATTAATGAGAAATTTTCACAGGTGGCAACAGCTGTCTCTGCTGCTCATTTTAACTTCAGTGGTACATTATCCAAATTTTTGAAAGTCAGGTAGCATATAGCGAGGCTTAAATAACCAGAAATGAAAGCAGCCTGGATTTCAGTCAGTTTGTGAGGAGAGCTGAAGTCTCCTCAGCCCTCCACGTGTGTTGCCCTCAGCAGACCCCGTTGCTCTCCCCCCAGCTAACGGTGGGCCGGCGTTACTGGGTTTCCGTGCTGCCTGTTCAGTTCATATGTGACAAATGTGTTTAGAAAAATGTTACCTGCCTTTTGCTGCGCTGCTGAGAGAGAGATTATATGCACATTTTAAGCAAACATGTAATTTTCTGCAGTTTCCTTAAAAAGTACGTTTTAAGATGGTTCATTTGCTATCATGAAGACTCAGGGTAGAAATGAAGTCTGCTTGCAAAATACTGCCAAAATAAGGATCTGACTGCCAAATACCCAGAAAATTTATAAAACAGATAAATATGAAAAGAGATTTCAAGTGTCAAATCCAAGATAACCCCTGCAAGCAAAGCAGGATAAAAGCCTTTATTGTTGCTAATCTAAGAGCACATCGTATGTCAAAGGTCACGTATTTTACATAAAAGATGTATTGTTTTACATACTCTCAGGAAGGTGAGGCCTGACCTATTATGATGGAGTAGTGTTATGTCCTTTACAGTGCACAATCAGGAATGGCTTATACGTGTGCCCCAGCAAAGCACATAGTGCTTCCTATACAGCAGACTCCTACAGATTTTGGCCCCTCATCTTCTGGTACCTTATTCATAGAATCATAGAATGGTTTGGGTTGGAAGGGACCTTAAAGATCATCTAGTTCCAAGAACTGTGAAAAACTTCTCACTCAAAACGTGAAAAATAAAATAAAATGCCAGTTGGCAACAGATAAAACCAATATTAGTTTCGTCTCAAGGTAACCTTTTTTTTTTTTTTTCTGGCTAAAATTAATCTGGTTTCAATGGTAAAGAAGTAATACTTCATTCTCATAGTGAAAACATTTTTTCTTCCCAAAGAAATGGCATATGAGTACGTTTTCTTTTGTAAGAACTTAATGAAGATTCTGATTTTTCCCAGTGGTTGATATTTTACTGCTTCAGTAAAGAGCTTCACCTACTGATGTCAATAGCAAAACTTACCATTTGATGAGTTTCACAAACACCCCCAAAACTCCACATCACTGTGTGAATTTTGTGAAGTGGAGTTTCACGTAGCTCTGTCTGACACATCCCCACGTCACCGACTTTCCGTTTCGTGTGATGTCATCTGTGTCACCGAATTGCATATTTCTTTCTGTCTGTCTTGCGTATTATTCTGCACCCCTGCAGCAGCAGATCAACATTTCAGTGAAATTCTGTTATAATTTTACTCTATTAAGGTATTTGGTCAATCGATGTGGAATTAATTCTGAATGCTGTTAGTGGTTTGAGTTAGTAACTTGATCTAAATTAATAAACAAATGTTTTTCTTTTCTCTTGTACCATATGTTGATCCCAATTACATGAACAGAAAGTGGCAGATTGTCATGTTTCTTAAAAGATTACATACTCTTTTGCATAAGAGAGAGTACACAAGATGCAGTAATATACAGGGTAAAAAAAACCCTACACGTGCTGTTTTCTCCCTCCTACTTTTTATAAAGATATGCTTTAATTATTTCTCTTTTTAATACCCACTGCTCTTACCACCTCGGCATCCTTGGTGTGCTCTTGGTAATGCTTAACAAGACGATATCCCAAGACAGTAAACAACTTTTTGAATTAGGCATGGAAGATGCAGCTAGTTTTAAAATCTCATCTAGGACTGTGTCTCTATGGAAAAGGATGAGAAAAAAAAAATAAATAGAAAGGATCCAGAAGCTAAAATAGCAGTGGTTACAAATGGTCTTAAAATGCCTTAAGTAAGGAGAAGCATTCAGACAATAGTCAGATTTCTGAAACAAAGGACTGAACTCATCTATTATTCAAACTGAAAATAGATTGATAGACATCAAGATTAATAAAGTTTATGCTAGAGAACAAAGATGTCTCATCTCCATGGTGGTTTTTTTTTTTTTTCTTCTTTTTTCCTCCCAAAGACCAAGTTGTTCGTGCTGAACCGAAGAGCCTCACACTGGCTGGTACTGATAAGCAGCAGTCCTGTGACTTGCTTGTTTTTATTAACTCTCTCTGAAAGTCATTCACCATTAAACACGATTAGATCCGTTTGTTGCTTTATTTATGTTTGTACTTGCAAATGTGGTGCCAATGAAAATGCTTTGGGTGTTGTTGCTGACACTGACCCAGCAGTCACGTGCGTTACCTTCTCTCTCTGCAGGGTAAGAAGAGTGACCTTTTTGGGTGGCTGTAACTGAAGATTGCTTTACTGGAGCAACTGAAGAAGGTAAATACAAATACTGCTTTGCACACAGTTCCCGAAGCGTGCCTGAATCCTGCAAGCCCCAGGAGCAAGGCTTAGTTGCACAAGCAAAGGCTCTTCTGGCACCGTGGTTAAAGATTGCAGCGTTGGGCTTGGAGCTCAGCGTTTGGAGCTGTCCCTGTGCCTTACACCCGTGTTTTGCCTGGAAAGCCAGTGGTTTAGGTGTCCAGTTCCATTTTAGGAGCAAGTCCACAAAGATGCACTTTTTAGCTTTCAACTGTGTTCCGAGAACCTGTGCGCAAATGGGAAGACCCTACTCTGGCTGGTCTTGGTGGCCACATGGCCAAGTCCATGGCCCAGCATCCATGGGTGCTGGGCTGGGAGCTGCAGTGGCACAGCCTCACAGCAAGGTCCCCTTTCCCGGGGCAAATCCCTGGGGAATGGTCAAGCCAGCTTCATCCCAGGCTGAGACACTCCTGGATTTACAGCAGTGCATCGAGCAGAGCAGGAGGGCAGAATTTAGCTGTTAATTTGATTGCTTATTATCACTGCAAAAAATTAACACACATGCTTTTTAGTCTTTTGGAGCCTAGCGAAAAGGAAAGAAATACCACTCTCTGCAGAATGATTTTTATTTAAAGCAACGTGAAAGTCCCTTGCTTCTAAATTAACTCCTTGCCTCTCTTCTGGTCCAAAGTTTCAAGTTGGGAAGGAATATTAACATCACAAAAGTGGTGATTCACAAAATTAACTTGCAGAAGAGAAGAGTAACGCAGATCAGTGTTTGGTACTGAAGGGTGTCATCTGACTGAGGTTCATATGGCTGCTTTATAATCACCTTCTTTCAGAAATTAATAGTCGGTTAAGCACCATAGCAACAAGCAACACTGATGTAAGCGTTGAGCAGTGGCTGCTGTTCGCTGTGATGTCAGTGCTCGTTAGTGCTGTTCTCTTGACCTTGTTTGAATATAAAATGGTGATTTCATTTTAAACTTGGAATTTTACAGAATGACTAAATGCATCGGAGTGAATTAGAGCTATTTTTATTTTTAATTTTATTAAAATGTACTTCAAGGGGAAAAAAAATGTCCCTGTTCTCTTCTGTTTTAAATTAAAATAGATCTGAAGATGATGTGGGGTTTTTTTTTTTCAGTTCTTTGTTGCCAAAAATAGCTATTTAGTGAGGATGAAATTCATGAAGTTCAAGTGAATATTGCAATCCTTGGCCATGGCAATGGTGTATGTCAGCTGTATGATATATGCCTCTCTTCAAGATTTGAATATTACTGGGGTTTTTTTTTGTGGTGGAGCCCATGAGGTATTAGATACATTTCAGCTATTGAAGAAGCAGCAGCAGATCCTGCAGGTAAAGAAGATGGTGGTTCCTTGCCCTACAGTGTTGTTCCCCCTTCCAGTTTTTGTGAAGGGAAAAATTTTAAATCCCAGGTACTTTAGAGGGCATCAGAATTAGTGGGATTCTTGTGGTGCAGTGGCTCATGCATGGTGATGATGCTGTGTGACCCAGGAAAATTAGGAATTTTGGTTGTGATAATTGCAAAACACTACCTTTAGACACACCTGGAGTTTGTAGGCTGTGTTTCTGAAAGCCACCATAGTTTGTATTGCTACCATCAGGACACCACACATACCAGACAGACCCTCTGGCGTGCACCCTTCAGCAGGAAGCAGTTTGGGTGATTCGTAGAACGTATCATTGGAAAAGACCATTAGATTTTTATTTTTTTTTTGAGGCTGACCACCTGAGTATCGTAAATTTTTGAGTCTCACCCTGCACCCCTGAGCAGAGCTTGTAAATAGGGTTCAACCAAACTTGGTCTGATCCAGGCTCAGTGGGAAGACCCTGAGGACTGGAAAACCATGGGTCAGTTACGGTCTGTGCAAGCGGGATGCATGTTCAAGCTCGTGTTTTCCAACTGCACAACAAAACTCACAACTTGATGAAAATAAGTTGTTCTCTGTGGCCTTTAATGATGGGACTTGTTCCTGTGAGAAGGTGTGGTTCTGTCCTCCTTCTGTTGCAGCGAGGGGTGCTGTTTTCAATGAAAGGCTATTCGCTGCAGCACTGGTCCATAATCTTGCAACGTATTTCATAACATAAAGCCATAATGAATGATATGTGGTCCAAGAAACTGGATGTCAAATTTTAACTGGGTGAGAATTGAAACTGCCGAGATAATAAACCATGAGAATAGGAGATAGTAATGGAAATAGTGATAGAGTCCTAATTAGAGCAGTGCCACTGAAACCGGGAAGGTTAAGGGTTTGGTTGATTGAGTTTGAGCTCAATTGCTTGATAGCTTAATTTCAGGTGAAATCCCATCTTCTGAGTTAGCGGTTAAGCCGCTCTGTGCAGTTACAGAGCAGGACTCTCTACTCCTTGAGGAGCGGCCGCGTGGCCCCAGGCGTCCCAGCACTGCGTGGGATACGGCACAGAGCTGGTAAAATAGATTCTTCTACTCTGTGTTTTATTTGCTTTCTTTTTTACTGTGAGCTCCAAAGAGCTCAGAACAGAGGCACAAATAACAGAATAGATACAGCAAGGGGCTTTGATGCTTAAACCTTCAGAATTAAGATGTTTACCTTCTCCTTTATTTAGCACTGTTAGGCATAATGCCTAATTATATGCCAGCTTTTCCTCAAAGTAAGGATTTGAATTGAAATGTTTGATTTGGGAAGAAGGGAGGGGAAATGTATTTTTACAGAATTATGGACAATAGTGTTAGTTTTCCAGGAGCAGTCATTTGTTTAAATGTATGTAAAAGCATTTTCAATAATCAAACACCATTCAGTGAGCATTGTAAATCAGGGATAGCTTGCATGCTGAAAAATTGAAAAGTACAAAACATGCTACTAAAGTTGTACATTATTGATAACAAAAGGCACATGCAGACTTTTAAGATAGCAAAGATAGAATCCTTTAGAAAACCCTTAACGGGGAAAAAAATCAACACAAAGGAATTTAGCAAAGTTGCATTTAGTTTAAAATTTCAAATCTTAATGCTTGTCGGAGTTAAATGCTGATTAAATATTGATAATAATATAAAGCTGTAACTTAGAACTGAATTAGATGATCAACAGATAAATCTGTGGGTTTGAGCTTTAACTTTTTTTAGATATATTTTCTCTTCCCTTCCCTTTGAGCCAGGAGAAAGGTCAGAAGGACTTTGTTTCCTCAGCTCACTATAAAAAAATGGATTGTGCAGTTTGTCTGTGTGGAAAACAAAGTGGCTCAACAGCGTGTTCATTTTCCCCCCAACACCCTCCCTTGCTCATGACTTTCCATAAGATGTGCTGGTGAGGTCCTTACTCCTGTTTTCTGTACCAGCTGGGTGGCAGTGATGTTTGCACATCAAGGCAGTGGGAAATTAGTAGCCTGATGGTTTCCTTACTGAGTTTGGCATCTTGACTTTTCTTGCTTTTGACTTAGTGGCCTTAAAGCCCATTACAGAGCAGAAATAGCCAGCATGCCTAGGAGATGCGGTGTATGGTACTTCTGAATGTGGGTCCTGTGACTTGGGTGCATTGAAAAGAGTCAGTAATGGAGCAGACAACCTGCTTCTGGGACGTTTTCTCCTATGTTTTCTCTGTGACAAGCCCAAATTACATAGTTCATGAGTGCTTGTATCACCCCCAGCAGGAAATAGGGATCTGGGAGACCCCCTTTGCTGCTCACTTGCCGGTGGGATGGTAGTCACATGGCTGGAGTGATTACTATCTGTCAAGCCACATCTGAGACTGGATTCCTTTACTTTCAGATTGTTGGGAGAGGTTGTAAAATCCTACTTGTTCAGACCTTTGAGTTACTGAAATAGAAAAGTACAGTGAGGTGTGAAGTGTTTCTGTAATCTGTAGTAGCAGAAAAGACAATATTACCTGCATATTTTGGGATAAACCCTAAAAAGGTTGTGTGTGGGCCTTTGGCAACACAAACTGCTTGAAGATCGAACCTACTTGAATGAAAAATTTAGTCCAGAGATGGGTAAAGCTGTGACTTTTCTGAAGCAACTGGGTCAAGAAGATGTAGAAAATAGATTAAGACATTTTGGAATAACTTAAAAAGTATCTGAGCAAATCTCATTAACATGGACCACTAGCATGCTGTATTGAAGACTTCAAAGATCTGTCAGAGGAGTTCTTTCTGTGCTATTGTCTGGCAGCATTAGCAATCTCAAGAGAACATGTTTCTTTTGTTTGCTTTTGGCCCATTTAGCTTTTCTTCTTTTTCTTCTTCTTCTTAATGTTCCTTAATATATTATAAATCTTCAAGTGGGCTGGTAGGAAAATAGGTTTCTCGGCTTTAAGATAGTCAGTAGCAGGTTTTGATCCTCTTATCTGACGCTTCTGGACCAAATCCTTCTGGTCTTCATGAAGGCTGCTAAAGTGAGCAGGGTTTGGCCAGTATTTTGCATAATCCTGCAGTGTTTCTTCCATTACCTTAGGTAGATGCTCGATGTGATCGTCAGTGAAACGCAGGTGGTGATTTGCATTACTTAACATGCGCTCACAGTACCATCATCCGTTTCGAATCTGTGAAGTGAAGCTCGAGGCTGAGTGGTTCCTGCACACCTCCAGATTTGGAAACCACCAGCCTAATCTGGACCCACAGACCAAACACGGTTGCATATATTGAAAATGGCCCAACCTGTAAAGATTGTAAGCAGTGATGTTAAGCTGCCATAAAGGGTGCGCTGATGTCCATCAGTGGCCATGTTGACAAGTGCCATCATGGACCTCAGGGCTGCAGCATCCCTGTTGTGGGCAGGTGTTGGAATTCCTCCCACTGCTCTCCTGCATACCAAGAGATTTAGTGGTGTGCATCCCAAGAGGGAGATGAGACATCCCGTTCTAGGCACTGATGTGTCTGCGAGAGATTGTTTTGCTGCAGTGGTGGGCAGTGTTGTAGAAACTGGTTGGAGTTGTCAGCCTGGGCCGTTTGGGAAAGGGGGCTGTAAAAACTGTCTTTAGAAAGTTGGAGCCTGTTCTTGTGTCATGAACAGCCTCTC